GATTAGTCTCAATATTTTTTTGCCATTGGTCCTCTCGAATAGTTGTCACAAACCATCAAAATCAATTAAGGGTGCAATTCATCATATCCGCCACCACCTGTTTACGATGAACCTTACTTGAGTTTGCTATAAACCAAAACATGCCATTGTGTACACTGGGATTGACTGCGCCACAATCTTTATTACAAATTGCTTTTTGTCACACTCGTTTTCTTTTCGAAAATGCCGGTGCAAACTCTTAAAATTTTGTAAAGGCATTTCTGAAAATTGTACATATGATTCGTACACTTGAAACTTTGCTTCGTGCACATACGATTTATAACAAACATGAACCAATCGGTTATACATACTTGGTTTGTGAGAGAAAAGCAGATTCATAGTACAAACTTGCTTTTAATCACAATAAGTTCCTTCGTGAAAACATTCATTGCAACATGTACATTTGGATCTAGAGTAGCTTTGAAGATCGTGATGAGGTCCACAACGGTGGAAACAGATTGTAGTTTCGACACACGTCTTGAACACCTTGCATAATTTTTATTTTTTATTAGGATAACTTCTGCATAACTTTACATAATCTAATTTGGATGTGTGCATGCATTCCTGTTCGTTACATTTGCACATGTCCGATTGATGTTTCTAGAGTGCCATGGCATGTGTGAGAGGAGACAGTCGGATGTGCTCGAGTGAAATACAAAAAACCACCACATTGTACACATCCATTTGAATTTGCTACCACTTTACCTACGGCAGCAAAAATCTACCGTAGTGGTAGATTTGGACAATTCAGGAGCTTCCTTGCTCAACCACACGAACCAGTAATTTGCTCGTCATGTCGGATGCCAACCATACTCATTTCGGAACACAAATTCCTTTCCCCCCCAACCCTACAGGAATTGAACTGCTTTCAATGTAAGCCTTTCAAATTTCATGTGGATTTGTTCCCAAAAGAAAGCAGCATGCACATTACAGTCACAACTCTGCACTCTGTTGACATACATAAGACACCGTAGCAACGCTTCACTATAGGACTAGGTCTCGCCTCTTCTTCGGGTTCGATGGCTCCGCACCGCCCGTTCCTTTCCTCATCATCGCCACGAACTCTGAATAGTCTATCCTCCCATCCTGCATTCGTCGTCAAGAAAACAGTTTCAGTTCCTTTCGACGCATTTACCATCTATTGTTTCGAATGTATTTTTCCTTCTTACGTTGTCGGAATCGGCTTCGGCAATGACATCCTTGAATTCCTCGGCGTCGAACAACTTCTGCTCTTGTAAGGCCTGCTCCAGCTCTTCTTTTGTGATGTACCTGCGAGAGGTATATGAGTATCCAAAAATCCTGAATCCAGGGGCCTGAGATGTACTACCTCTGTTTCTTTTCTTTTTCCAGGAAATACTACCTCTGTTTCTAATCTAAATATAATTTTTTTGTCAGTTTAAATTGAACTGCCAAAACGTCTTATATTTTGGAACAGAGGTTGTACTAATTATCAGTTTGTTGGTGCTCAACTTACCCACTGTTGTCCTTGTCGAAGTATTGGAACGCGGTGTAGAGGTGCTCTTCCCTGTCCATTCTGTTCATGTGCACCGTCGCGGTGACGAACTCCTCGTAGTCGATCAATCCATTGCCGTCGGCATCGGCCTGGAAATCGAAGCAGAAAATAATTTCCGTTCATGTCAAATACTCTATGTAACACCACGTCGTTGATTGGTTGTGTCATCTGAATTAATAAGACTCACTGCTTCCATCAGTTGCTGAATTTCATGGTCCGAAAACTTGTTGCCCTGCTTGGCCAGCCCGTTCTTGAGCTCTTCGAGGGTGATGGTGCCGCTGTTGTCCTTGTCGATGCTCTTGAACATCTCCTTGAGCCCCTTGATCTCCTCCTCTGACAGGCACCCGGCAATGACCTACGCAAAGTTCGCCGCAAAGTTATCAAAGATTAGTTAGTTACCTGAAGAAGTGTTGTCAATGTCAGTCTATGCGCCTACTCTCAGTGCGGCTTTCTTGAACTGGTTCATGGCCACGAACTGCTTCATCCTGTCCAGAACGACGTTGTCGAGCGGCGTGTCGGGGGCGTCTCCGTCTTCCTTGATCCATGGGTGGTCTGAAAAAGCTCAAGTTATTTCAGGGCATCGATTGTCTTGGTCATGCACAAAAAAAGAAGTGTGCACGAAGCAAGAATTTGACAGGAGGAAAAAAGAACATGCAGAAGTGGCTTACTGAGGACTTGGGTGGCCGTAAGCCTGTCCTTGGGGTTGATATGGAGCATCTTCCTGACAAGATCCTTGGCTCCGGGGGAGATGTTGGGCCACGGCTCGCTGACGAAGTCGACCTCACCGCGCAGAATGGCGGTGAAGATGGCGTTCTCATTCTCCGCCCAGAAGGGAGGGACGCCGGAGAGGAAGATGTAGAGCATGACGCCCATGCTCCAGACGTCGGCCTCGTGGCCGTACTTGCGCTTGAGCACCTCCGGGGCGATGTAGTAGGCGCTGCCGACGATGTCCTTGAACACCTCGCCTTCCTTGAAGAAGACGGAGAGGCCGAAGTCGGTGGCCTTGATGGGCGACGACTCGTCCCGGTTGAGCATCAGGAAGTTCTCCGGCTTGAGGTCCCGGTGCATCACCCCCATGGAGTGGAAGGTGTGCACGGTCCCGACCACGGACCGGAGCAGCGAGGCGGCGGCGCGCTCCGTGTAGTGCCCCTTGGCGATGATCCGGTCGAAGAGCTCCCCGCCGGCGCACAGCTCCATCACCAGGTGCACGTTGTGCTTGTCCTCGTAGGCGCCGCGGAGGTCCACGATGTTGGGCTGGCCGGAGAGGTGGCGCATGATCTCCACCTCGCGCCGGACGTCCTCCACGTCCTCCGCGCCCGACAGCTTCCGCTTCGCGATCGTCTTGCACGCCAGCTTCTCCCCCGTCTCCGTGTGGGTGCACAGGTAGGTCACGCCAAACTGGCCGCGCCCGAGCTCCTCGCCGATGGTGTAGGTCGCGCGCACGTCCTCTATGGGCCGCCCGAGCACCTCGCCCACGGGGCCCGGCGGCTTGGCATTGGGGTCCGCCTTGGTTGCCGCAGAGGCGGGCTCGGCCTCGGCGGCGCCAGGAGCAGGAGCCGGGCCATCGTTGGTCGGTGCGTTGTCCCCGCGCGGCGTCTTTGGGGGCGCCGGCGGCTCTGCCTCGGCCGCCGCGTCGGCAGCGGCAGCCTGCCCGGCTCCGTTTGTGCAGCATTGGCCCATGGCTGCGGGGAATGCGCGCTGGCCGCTCCGAGGGAGGAGAGGCAGGCACAGGCATGCATGAAGAGCACGCACCTACACACATGCACAAACCAAAGTTCGGAGATGGGTTTCGTTATCTTTGCCACACAAAAAATGGTTTCGAGCTTGGAAGGTTGGGAGTGAATGGCGGGAAGGAGGAGGATTATTATGCTGGTGTCACAACCTGAACCTGAAGCTCTCGAATTCTTCAGTTAGGTGTAGCATTTCTAGCTATACCGTTTCGATCGGATCCTACGGATCACATGGCTCCTTGCCTGATCTCGTCGATGAGCCGTCAGATCCCTTTAACCGTTATAGAGTGCTTATTCCTGTTATTTACTCCTTCCGTTCCAAAATATGAGGTGTATAGTTTTTCTAAAGTTAAATATATGCATGTTTGATCAAGTTTTAAGAAAAACTACAGTAACAAATTTGTATCATTAGATTCATCGCGAAAAGTATTTTCATATTTTATTTATTTTATAATCTTGATCAAACATACATAAGTTTGACTTGCACAAAAATCGATACACCTTATATTCTGAAAGGGAGCAAGTACATTAACCGTTGTAGTGGGTAATTAACTACCTATGTAAGTGGGTGGTTTAACGAGCTAATCAACTCATTAAGGCTTGTGCTCATTAAGCCTCAACTCACTAAGCTTAACGAGCAGAAAATCTAGATGGCTCTGTTCATTTGGAACTCATTAAGCTCATGAGCACTAACAAGCGCTCGTTAATAGACTACAACATGTCACGGTCTATAGGATGTGAGCGTAGATGTGATTTTTACGGAGGAAAATGATGAATATAGAAGAAGGTGTACTAGTTGCCTCCTATAGGCTAGGTTGGCTAGATGGGCAAGGTGCTATAAAAATGTTGCCACATAAGATAAAAATATATCTTGTGCTGTACTAACGAGTTTAATGAGCTGCTTGTGACACTCGCTAGCTCGTTTGTTAAGCTCATTAAGCTTAATAAGTTGAAATCAGTGATTTGTTATGTTCATTAAGAAGTGAGCTACAAGCTTAACGAGCCAAGCTATCGAGCCCCCATTAAGCTCGTGAGCTACGAGCTTTTGGTCCAGCCTTATAAATCGGGTTGTGGCCCTCTTGGTTTAAACATAAATCCTACCTATTCTCTTTATTACCATATTTACTGTCCCAAATTCCCCCTGATCCAATCCGGGTCTTAAACAAATTGGTATTCGAGCTCAAGTTCCTTGGTGGCGTTTTCTATTGGTGATTTTTTCCGTCAGATCGGGCAAATCCCACCCTCTTGCGGCAGTGGCGCTTTTGAGTGATTCTAGCAGCGCAGGCGGCGGTGTTGGTGGCATTGGTGGTGGTGATTGTTCTCGTGTAGATCAGTTGAGTGGAGTGGTTGTTCAAGAACATCTCTCGTTCGGTAAAATTCCACGTCTAACATGCACCATGGAGAAGAGGATCGTTGGCGGTGGCATGAGCTAAACATGGGATGGGTTGCTGGCTTGTTCAATGCTAAAATTCCTCACTTGTTTTTCAGATTAAGGAGATGGGGAGGAGCAACAAGATCATCAATGAGGTGGATTTGCAGGAAGTTCTGTCTACAAAAGAAGAATTGATGGTTTTCTAAAAGGACGACGCAACCCTATAGAAAGATGCCTCCAAATCACAAGAGGATGTTTAGTCTATTAGATCCAAGTAATGTGAGATTTCTCTACAAGTTGAGGAGTGGAACAAGAAGTAGTATAATTGGGCAAACAACTGTCAGCTATGAGTAAAATGTTGCAATCGATTGTCCCACAAACAAGTGCAAACAAGAGGATGTTTAGTCTATTAGATCCAAGTAATGTGAGATTTCTCTTAGCCATGTGCGTGCCCTCCTCCACAGTTTACTCCTCCGATCATATTGTCTTAGTGCTTAGACGAAGCCCTACACGGATCACATCATCATCACCGTCACCATGCCGTCGTGCTGTCAAAACTCTCCCTCGAACCTCTGTTGGATCAAGAGTTCAAGGGACGTCATCGAGCTGAACGTGTGCTGAACTCGGAGGTGTCGTACGTTTGGTACTAGATCGGTTGGATCCTGAAGACGTTCGACTACATCAACCGCGTTAACCTAACGCTTCCGCTTTCGGTCTAGAGGGTACGTGGACACACTCTCCCCCTCTCATTGCTATGCATCTCCTAGATAGATCTTGCATGATCATAGGAGTTTTTTTAAAATTGCATACTACGTTCCCCAATAGTGGCATCCGAGCCAGGTCTATGCATAGATGATTTGCATGAGTAGAACATAAAGAGTTGTGGGCAATAATAGTCATAATACTTACCACCGTCTTATTTTGATTCGGCGGTACTGTTGGATGAAGCGGCCCGGACCAACCTTACATGACCACGTTCATGAGACCGGTTCCATCGACAGACATGCAACTTGTTTTACATAAAGGTGGCTGGCGGGTGTCTGTTTCTCCAAATTTAGTTGAATCAAATTTGATGACGGCCGGTCCTTGTTGAAGGTTAAAACAACACACTTGACGAAAAATCGTTGTGGTTTTGATGCGTAGGTAAGAATGATTCTTGCTACAAGCCCGTAGCAGCCACGCAAAACTTGCAACAACAAAGTGGAGGACGTCTAACTTGTTTTTGCAGGGAATTTTGTGATATGATATGGTCAAGACATGATGTGATATAGGTTATCGTATGAGATGATCATGTTTTGTAGAAGTTATCGGCAACTGGCAGGAGCTTTATGGTTGTCGCTTTATTGTATGAAATGCAATCGCCATGTAATTGCTTTACTTTATCACTATGCGGTAGCGATAGTTGTAGAAGCAATAGTTGACGAGATGACAACGACGCTATGATGGAGATCAAGGTGTCAAGCCGGTGACGGTGGCAGGGGCGGAGCCAGGAATTGAACATAGGGGGGCGAATCGAAACTGAAAATATTGCAACCCGTGACCCCTTATAAATGATCTCCTTAACAATTATATTTGTGTATAGATCATCCATATATACAACTAACATATTTAATTAGGAAATACATGTTATCAATTAGGGGCATTTTTTTTAAAGAAACGTCTAATTAGTAAATTAACAGAGATCCTCTTACATGCTTGATTAATAGGATGTTAGGTTGTAATCCAGAGAAAAGAATGAACCGGCTGCGAGGGATATTTTATGTGGACATACCTTTCAAACGGAGCTTTAGATCATGAACAAACGAAGCCTTAGATCATGAACACATACTCGACGGACTCAATGACATATGGCTCAATAGAGCGGTTAACACCATGGAGAAGCTGGAAGCAACTTGGTCCTTGCGGGGTCTCCTAGCGCCACCAGCACCGGCAAACGGAAGCAGTGCCTGGTCGTTGCCGGCCGGGCGGAGGTGCAGCGAGCCATTGAGTGGCGGCAAGAAACCCTAGCGATTAGGGAATTGGGAGATCGATTTTGGATCAGATTTTGGATCAGATCAATGTACAGAGTTCGAAACGATCAAACTTATAGGCCTCCTGCTCACAGGTGGTCAGGACGGGCAGATGGGCCACTATTTGGGCTTGGCTTGCATGGTCTACTGATTAAACATTACTTTTGGGCTGAATTGCTAATTAAGTTGTCATTATCTCCGGCCAATTAGCGCATATAACATAAAATACTAGTACTATGGCCCGTGAGACATTGAGGGGGGACGATCGTTGGGGGTGTCTAGCCCCTGCTCGCCCCCTGTCTCTGCCCCTGGACGATGGAGATCATGACGGTGCTTTGGATATGGAGATCAAAGGCACAAGATGATGATGGCCATATGATGTCACATATTTTGATTGCATGTGATGTTTATCTTTTATGCATCTTATTTTGCTTAGTACGGCGGTAGCATTATAAGATGACCCCTCACTAAATTTCAAGGTATAAGTATCCTCCCTGAGTATGCACCGTTGCTACAGTTCGTCGTACCGAGACACCACGTGATGATCGGGTGTGATAAGCTCTACATTCACATACAACAGATGTAAGATAGTTTTGCATGTGTAGAATACTCAGGTTAAACTTGACGAGTATAGCATATGCAGATATGGCCTCGGAACACTGAGACTGAAAGGTCGAACGTGAATCATACTTATTCAGGTCCCAGAAGCAACAACCTTAGCCAAGATACGCTTGTGAAGATCAAGGCGGTTTATACTCTTGTTGAGCAATTATATACTGGAGCTCAACGTACATTGGCTACCATCTCCCCGACTAATCAAGGACCCAATCTGTTAAGCAATGTGCTGAAGAAATTATCCATCCTGCCCACCAGAATCCAAGAAATAAAGCGGTCTTGTGCAAGAGCCGGCGCTGCGACGGCCTTGAGCCGTGCCACAATATGGGTACCGGAATTAGACCCGACAGATGTGGCCAGTGGGTATCCTAGCTTAAAGGAAGACGGAACCTCTTTCAATCAACAAGACTTTGCCGCCTGTGTCAAAGAGATTCGTCCTCATGAAACAGTCATCGCTGAAGAGACCAATCTTTCCAAATATCAGCCGGCGTATGACGCGGACAATCAGAAGATCCATACACCCACGTACAACGTGATGGACTTAATTCCGCCGATTCGTAAGCACACCTTCACCCCTGATATTGACCCGTCCAATCTGATTGACGACGAAGTTGAATTCTTCGCCTTGCGTGGCTTTGATTGGTCGAAACCAAACTTCTAGACGGCGGGGGAGGAAGAAGAACTGGCAAGGGATGAACCGGAGGCCTCCCGTCAGCAAGACCAAGAAGAGTGAACCGCTAGGCGGGTTAAAGACTTAAGCTTTGACAAAACACTTGACCTCATGTTGGCTCATGGAGCTATGTAATAGGGTAGTTAAAACTTGAATTGGCCGTGCCATCACGCATGTTTTCTGTTTTCCGTAACACTGACGATCCACCGGTTTAAAAAACCACTCTTTGTATGATAGTCTTTGACTTATGCGGATTTGAATTATTATGATCCTGCACATAAAGA